ATCTGGTATTTTTCTTTTTCTTTCTGGCTTATTTCACTAAGCATGATCCCTTCCAGCTCCATCCATGTTGCTGCAAAAGGCATGAGTTTATTTTTTTGGTTTGCTGAGTAATATTCCATTGTGTATATGTACCACATCTTTTTAATCCAGTCATCTATTTTTGGGCATTTGGGTTGATTCCACATCTTTCCTATTGTAACTAGAGCAGCAATAAACATGGGGGATGCATAGTCCCTCTTAATGGTCAAGTATTGAGGAGAGCACCCCCCGATACCCCTGAAATCCATGGGGTCCATTCTCTCATTGCCAAAGCTATAACTGCATGATATTGATGTGACTCTCTATGCTCTGAATTCTCTAGGAAGCTGAAGCACAGTTCTGTCTGAGAAATGGAGTCGACACCTTCTCCTTGCTATATCCTGAGAACGCCTTCTTCAGCTTATGTTCTGTGACCATCTATCCCAAGGTTTGAACACCAATTCCAGTGGATGAGTTATAGGGAAGAATATGATAAGAGTCCTCCTGTATTCCAACCTATGTCTCAGGTCCCAAGCCCCCACATAGAGTCCTATACAAGCAGATACTCTAGGAGGTTCACTCCCTCAGTCAATTCATCAGAAACTCCACACCCAATCTTCCGAGTTAAGCTCAGTCAGAACACCCAGTTACAAGATGATTTAGCAATTGAGATGTTGGCCAAAGGTGTTTCTGCAGAAAGATTGATAAAAAGGTCAGATTGCAGTGAGGTAGGGTGAGTAAATACAGGCAGCAAAGACAACAGAATTTTTGTGAAACTTGTTAAGAGTGGCAGCTGGAAAGAAGCAAATGGAATACAGATGTTGAATCATAATGATGTACACCTGAAACATTTTTTAAAAGTTTGAATGAAATATACTTCTAAAAGGAGATGGAAAGTGGTGGTGGTGGTTTTACCACAAGATAAACTTGCATATTATCATATACTGAGGGAAAAGGACATGCAGAGGAGAAGCAAACCCTAAATATTGAAAAGCCCTGAGGGAGTAGCCAGAGAGAAAGCATGCTGAGGAGATTGGAGCCAGTGCACGGAAGGAAGGAGGGGAGGGCCCTGGAATGCCCCTTGGCCTAGGAAGGGACTGGTCATACAAATTCAGGCTGAAGGGAGAAGAGAGGAGATAGAGTCTTTGCCCTCAGGCTTACTTAAGATGAAATGAAACAGTGGGGTGGAAAGCCCCAGCCCAGACCAGAATGACTTACCTCAGGGTTCCACCCTGTGACTAAGTATAGGCCATCTCATTTACAAACTCCCTGTAACTCCTAACCTTGATTCCTCTTTGGGACATTTGATTTTACTAATAGTAACAGCTGTTTTGGGGAGGCCATTTGCCTTCCTTCTCTCAGTCACAACATGCTTGGGATTCACCCACAGGATCGTCAACCCCACCTAGCTCTAGTTCTGGCCCCATCTTTCTGAGGATACACTAGTATAAAACTTCCTGGGGAAGGAAAGACTCACATTTAAAAAAAAATAATTAATAGTCTATGTTTACATTATTTTGTGCCTTTTTCCATCTCCGTTGTCATCCCCGTGGGCTTCCCATCACCAAATCACCCATGTGCCATGGCCATACTCCAGTGCACTTCCCCCACAGTTTTTGATCCCATTCCCCACTCCACCCTTGTAAAATGTTTCTGGTATATAGTTGGTCATTATTATATTATTTTCAGGGATGACACTTTTAAAGGAGATAAATTTTCTTCAGTTTGTTTATTTAACTTTTGGGCAGGCACACAGAGGGTCAAAGCCTGACCTAGAAAAAAAGACTGCTCTACTCTCTAGAGTGGACCCCAGGGGACAGTATCAGATGTCTTGTCCAGTGAACATAAAACTTGAATAAGATGGTTATCACATCACTTCCACTCACAAACAGTGAAAACAAAGGGTCACAAACAGATCCAACAGAGAGAAAGGCCTCACTGAACCTGTAGTTTGAAGTAGGGGTTATGTTGGAATTTGGGGATTTGCTTCCCTGTGCAACTGTGGTTCAAATCATGTACTCAGATACTCATGGGTGAGCTCAGGGGAGGGGGTTGCCTGTGGCAATTCGGAGCCATTGTGTGCCCTGTATGAAGGTGAAAGATGACAAAAGCCATTCAGCCCTCTGCTGCCACAAATGTGTGTGACCTCAGTCTTGTCAGACCTGACTTTGTAGAGACAGTTTACAGGTTCATATTCTTTTGCACAATCTCCATTTTTAATAACTGTTGTGAATAAATTCTGTTCGAACAATCACAATAAACTTCATGGTAGGAGTCAAGCCAAAGTCCCTAGAGCCACCTCAAGACAGGATGTTTCAATTTCACTTTCTCTAAAGAGACTTCAGAGAGTTCTGTTTCATAAATGTTCTAGTATGTGTGAGCTTTGAAACTGCTTTTTTGAGAGGAAAAACAAAGATTTTCCTCTCAAAAGTCACTCTCCCTCAGACTCCTCCCAAGACCTGGTCTGTGCAATTTACATTCCCTCCTCGCACCTCCACATCATAGTGATTTAAATCTGGTTTCTGCAAATGGGCAGGCTTTGGTGAATTAGAATATTTTGATATTACAAAAAAGGGAGGTCATAACATAAGTGAGCGTGGAAATTCTGATTTTTCAGAGCACTTCCGCCTCTATCTGGAATATGTCAGTCGATAGAGATTGCATAGCTTGTGTCACATTACATTTAGAGCCTACCTTAAATTCAGGATAACTTCATTTCAAGATCCTAATTGCATCCACAGAGACTATATTTCCAATAAGGCCACATTCAAAGTTCCCACTAGATACGACATTTGGAGGAGGGATTATTTATCCCACTATACTCATGCCTTTTCATTTTCACTAAATGTTCTTCATTGTTGTCTTCTCTTTAAATGGTTTATCTTTTTAAAAGTCACTTTTTCAAAAAAAAAAAAAAAGACCATCCTTGATCTTGTCTTAATAATAGCTTCCTCTTGTTTACCTTTAAATAAATGTTGTTTCCTAGTAAGTATTTTTGGGTGTGCCTGGACTGTCTCACACAAGCTGGAGAAGAGTCACCACTTA